TGTGTTACACTTCAAATTAAATCTTAATTAATGCTAACTTTGCTATTGTTCTGCCCAAGGTGTTATGCCTTTGCACAAGCAAACGGTGCTTGTCACAGTGTAACCCCGGAGGATACACAGATAGTTACAAAGGATTAGGAAGTCAAATTTGTTCCTGTATTTTAAACACCTTTAACTGCTTCAAATTTCTTTGACAAGAAGTTTAACCAGATTCCAATGAGGTGCCACAGCAACAAAATATTCTCAACAGGAAGTGTAAAATAAAAAAAATAAAAAACATTTCAAGGCAATATATTTGAAATCTAGACTGTGAAGCTTAAATAGTGGTAGTGAAATTCTGTTTTGTTTTCATTTGCTTTAGAGCCACTAACCTTACACTAGATTAGAGTAGAGGGGATCTGAGAAGCTACAGCGTGTTTTTAATTACCAACAACAGACCAGTAATAACCACAACAAAGGATACCTGCAGGCACAGGCAGACCAACGGGTTAACAAAAGCAGAAGTGCTCCAAAACTGTGCTTTCATATCACTGTTCAAAAGAGTTAAAGTGAGGCAAATCAGTGAAGCCAAGAGGTTTTACAGATGTAGTCAAATGAGTCAAGAGAGCTGAAAGGACTTCATTAACAACAATAAATCTTTTTGTTTTTGCAAAACCCAGCTGAATAGCAGATCAAATATCTTTTGGTTTCCTTCACTATTATACAGCTTTCTAGGAAAAGGAGGTGCTTTTAATCCCAACAGTTGTTGGGAAAAGGCTGGTTAGGTCCGGTTAGTTCACCAGTCCACTGAATCTGTTTAACAATAGCCTGTGAAATGACTTCTTGCAAAGACGTAAGAAAACGCAAAATCAATGCATTAATATTATGTTCTGGCATAATTTTTTAAAGGGTTTTGCAGGTGCAGGCAAGGGAGCGGGCAGGAGTGTAATGGTCAGATATTCAGTGGAAGCGGGATGAAGAAAATAGTCACGCGCAGGGCTCTAGTGCAAAGTTGAAAATAGGGTTTAGGTGTCAGAGCCGACAGGCTATAGTAGTTTTGGTTGATGTTCAATTCTGACCACGTATATATGT